TTGGGAACCACTGCACTTTGGTTCCCAAAGTTGGGCTTGGGACCCAATTATGGGTCATGAAGCACCTTGGATAATCTCCAGAAATCAATTAAAAGGATAATAAAATAATTGCTGATGTAATATTTTCCCTATAACTATTACAAAAACACAAAATAAGTATAAATGAGTATTTATATTTGTGTACAAGGTGTTTAGATCGTCAAAAAGCCTGTGTTTTTAGGGTTATTAACAAAGTTCGTGTACTCAGACCAGTAATATTTGGGGTCACAAGTTTTTGCCATGAACATTTTGTGGGTCAGAAGATAAAAAGTATGGGAACCACTGATCTATAGTACAAGACCCCGATGGGAGTTGATTGCAAGTTAATTTTCTATGGTAAAAGGCAAAACCATCTTTTTTCTGAGGAAAATCTAGACTTTTCATTAAAGCCAGAAAACTACTCAAGAAGTTGAGCACATTACCTGTTCTTTCCCCTTCGCTTTCTTTAGGTAGTCCTCTACTGCATCAACYGCCTGCTGAAAGCGCTTTCCTTTGTTTATCTTGATCATCTCTTCTTTGTGGGCGTGGTAGGGCTTCAGCTGCTCTACTTTGATCCAGGCACTGGTCAGACAGACAGAACAACTCCTTTTACATAACCACAAAAAAGGTATGACATTTTTTTGTTCATGAATTCTACTTACTGGTCTTCAGTTCCAAAAAATTTCACAAAATGGCATTTTTTGCCCCGGGGCTTTTTCAGGTCCTTGGGAGGGCTTACAATCTAAAGCACACAAAACCCATTAGCAGCAATTCAATGATCATAAYAACCTGCTTAAATATGTCAGTGTGAAGTTGTTGCTCATTACCTTTCCTGGCCATGGTGGGTAACGACCAAGTTTTCCCCTGAAATGAGAAGTATTGATTACACACATTCTGACTGGCACAGAGAAACATTTCAGTGTGCACATGATGATTTAATCATTTGACCAGTCTATATTTCACCACATCTCTGCTAATCTTTGAAGCTGTTCTAAGTCATGTCAGAAACATGGTTTCTTTCTGACTACTGGAAAAATTTGACTGTAGACAAGTTTGTGAGAAAATGCACAAAAAAAAGCTCTGGAAAGGGTAAACTTTAAAGCGGACGTGTTTTTAAATCCCTCTTTTTTCACATTTAAATCAGTCAGTTGGGGGTCTATATAAACTACAACTGCAATGCTTTGGTCTCAATTCCTCCATGTGGCAATTTTACAAGTTTTACCCTTTTCTGAGGTGTGTCTCAGCTCATTTTGAGACTGCATCTTTAATAGGACTGGGTATCACATAGGACGTGGCCATTCAAAACAATCTTCAACACAGAGCTCACAATACAATGATTCTTGTTTCAGAGCAGTTCGATTTGATACGACTTATCTATTACTTTGCACTAGTGCTGTACCAATTATTTGGAATAACGATTATAAAAATTAGTCTACGCTGAATTTTATTATCAAATATTATTATTATGATTATTAAATCACATGAAGGTTCAATTTTATCTGTATTATTTATAGGGCTGCCACGATTAATCGGCGACTAATCGATTATTAAAACAATCGATGACTAATTTAATAATCTATTATTCGTTTTTTTTAGTTCTTTACTTTGTTTTTCACTCCAAACTGCTTTGACACCTTCCACTGCCACATCTGCCTTTCTGTCCTTGACACACATGCACAGTAGTGGTAACTGGGGTAGGCCGTGGACGTCACAAGACATTATAC